ACGCGTTTGGATTCGTTCACTATTTCTCCTTTCGCGTGAGAGTTCGCATGAGCCGCATTAAGTTGTTGATTTACTCGGTTAAAAACATTAGGTGAGCCTGATGTTCACACCATACTTCCTTCTTTTGCGTGAGACGTGTTAGGTTGTTGATTTACTCGGTTAAAAACATCAGGTGCACCTAGTGTCACACCATCTTTCCTTCTTTCGCGTGAGATGCGTTAGGTTGTTGATTTACTCGCTTAAAAACATTAGGTGCGCCTGGTGTTCATACCATCTTTCCTCCTTTCGCGTGAGACGCGTCAGGTTGTTAATTTACTCTGTTAAAAACATCAGGTGTGCCTGGTGTTCACACCACATTTCCTCCTCTCGCGTGAGACGTGTTTGGATTTCAAGTTCATCATTTGTGCAGTATGCACATTTGTATACGATGCACCTCCTTCTTTCATTTGTGCGGTATGCACATTTGCATGCAATGCATCCCTCTTTCATTTGTGTGGTATACACATTTGTATGCGATGCACCCCCTCCTTTCATTTGTGCGGCATGCACATTTATATGCGATGCACCCCCTTCTTTCATTTATGCAGTATGCACATTTGTATGCGATGCGCCCTCTTTTATTTCAGATCATTTGCATGGGGCTTGCCTCACTATACATTACATCTTGTATTGTACACATCATGCGATTCCAAAATAAAAGAAGAAAAAGAAAAAAATCGACTTTCACTTGAATTAGCATATCATTTGCATATTACATGTCGCATCACTTGGTTACAATCTATTCACATCACCATTTGACACAGTTTATGCTAGCTCTCACTTTTTGGGTTGTAAAATTCACTCGTTTGTACTAGCGCTTTTTGGGGATGATGAAACTATCCCTTTCTCAGGTTGGCAGTCCAAACCATTATTGGTGAATACCACCTTTTCTTGGGTTGTTGATTAAGACTATCCCTTGGTTAATACCTTCCTTGTTTTGGGGCCATTCATCGGTTACATTTCGTTCTCTTACGTGGATGTATTTGGGTTGTATCTCTTGTTATGCTTCATATTACTTGCTGTATTGCATTAGTCATGCACTTTTTTTTCCACTCTAACAAAATTTCGCTACTTTTTACCCAAAAATGTTTTGTTGAACACGATTTCACACCAATCAAATAGACTATATTTTTAAAAAAAAAAAAAAAAGAAAAGAAAAAAAAAAGAGTTCAATTTTCAATTGCATATCATTTGCATTTTTCCCCTGAACTACACTGGTTTGATTGTAAAGGGATACATAGGCAATCCTCAGATTCAACCAACTTGTGTTTGCATCTTGTTCGTTTGCCCAAGTCTTACGACCTTGCCAAAAGGGTCATCTTCGGGCTTTGACATTCATTCACGTCATGAAATAACTTTGAGCTCTATCAAAGAGGGGCAACTATAGACATCCCATTTGGACCGACCCTAAGACTTGGGCGCTTTCATTTGATTACCCAATGATGAAAATAAGAATATGCTACCTCATAAAATTCTCAATAAAAATATGAAATGTAAACTTTAATCCCAGTCTTACACCTATTTTTGTCAAATTATTGTAGACCCATTCTCCATTTTCTTTTCCTTTATTATGTATTATATATATAAATATATATAATGTTATATTATTATATAATATTTTATTAAATTTATTCGGTGTCGTGGTTTCACCCACGCACCATACTTTTGTATATATATATATATTAACTATTAAATTTTTTTATATATTATATGAAGGTACTATTCCCCCTTTTGAAACATTCACCACACTCCCAATTCCCCAACATTCTACCGTTTGCTTTTTTGTTTTCTTTTACTTTAGACCCGCTTTGGTCAAATTATGTTACCTATTTGGACTACTAAAATTTATTTTATCAGTCCATTTATTTTGTTATTTTTTGTGTGTTTTTACATACTTTTTTGGGTATTTGTACATATATTTATGTTAATTATACATTTTATATATTATAATATTATAAAGTTACTATGCATCTTTTGAAAATTTTCTCTCGTCCACCATTTAATGTTTTATTTGTTTGTGTATTTATATTGCCTATAAACGAGGCAGGTGGATGAAGAAAAGATAGGGCTGGTTTTTGGGAGGAAGAATCAGAGAGAAAAAAAAAAAAGAATTGGTGCGAGAGAGTTTGAGAGGAAAAAGAATCAGAAAGAAGGAAAATTAGATTTTTAAGAGAGGGAGAAAACAAAATATTTTCTTAGATATTTTATTTTTCTAAACCAAATTTTTTATTTCCATTTCATCAATACACCATTCAAAAAACCAACCACTGTAACTGTCATTCCAAATTTTGGACCGAGAATTGAGAACACATTCCACAACTTTGAGGGTAATCAAAAAAAAGTTTATGAATCAGAAAATTCATCGTTTCCCCGAAAAGTGAATTTTCGCAAATTTTCATTCAATTTAAAAATGTGATATAACTTGTTTAAATACTTTATTTACTGCTTTTCATAATTGTTTTTTATCTCTTTAATGAGAAGGCTGCACCATCCACATATCTGTTGTAAATTACTCTTTAGATAATTGTTTTATCGCTTTAATGGGAATGCTGCACCACTCACATATCTGTTATAAATTACTTTTTATATAACTGTTTTATTGCTTTAACGGAAAGGCTGCACCATCTATATTTTTGTTGTAATTTACTATTTTTTTTTATATAACTGTTTTATTGCTTCAACGGGAAGATTGCAGCACCAACATATCTGCTGTAATTTACTGTTGTATATAAACTGGTATAATTTATTACTTTAAATAAAATGTTATAATTTACTACTTATATAAATTGTTGTAATTTTACCGTTTTAAATAGTTAGTCGAACCACCTAATTTGGTCAAGATGTGACCCCATCAGATGAATAGTAATCGACGGTGAATAGTAACCTCCGGTGGTGAATAATAACTTTCGATGCTGAATAGTAACTTCCGAAGGTGAATAGTAACCTTAACGATGAATAGTACCTGCAATGATAAATAGTACCTCCAGCAATGAATAGTAACTGCGGACAAAAAATGCCCAATAAGATAAATAACGACCAAGAAGGGTGACTAGTAATTGTTGTGGTGAATAGTACTGTCGGCGGTAAATAGTGCCCTGAGATGAATAGTGCTCCCGTAAAATAAGTTTCCCTAAACAGAACAGAGTAGTTTTCCTGCTTCAAGTGGAACGGTTTCTAGTGGTTTTCAAGGCATATGAAGCTCTTTTTTTCTTTTTTTTTTTTCTTTTGTTTATTTTATTTTGAGTGTCTTGTGAGATTTTTATTTTTTTTATAATATTCCCTTCTCTCTCTCTCATTTGGTTTGTAATAATTTATTCAAAATGTTGTAATAATTTCCCGCCTAACTCCTTTCTATCTTGTTCTTTTACTTGCTTTCTTTATTTGTGAATATGCATTATATTTTGTTTTCCGTTATATTCATGCTTTGCATCCATGTTTTATGCATCTTGATTTGGCTAAGTTTGTATTTGTGGATTTAATAAATTCCTATGTGATTTTGTACGTTACCTCACGTTATTGAGATGATTCACATGTCATATCTTAGAAGCCGAATCTTTAGTTGCATCTCATGAGTGAATTGCATTAGGATTTTGTATATAAGATCATGCATGATATACTAATTTTGTTTTGTAGCTTGTTCGTGGGACAACAAACATGTAAGTTTTTATGCTTTAGCATCCCGTTTGTGTGTGTTTTTCTTTTTATGTTTAAGCATCTTACCATGTGGCCACTTGCTTACTTGATATAACTGTATGAATGCCAGTGGATGGAGGTTGTGTCGCTTAATTTGGAATAATGTTGATTGTCTATGTTTGTAAACTCAATTTATTTGGGTTGTACATCTTCAAAACTCTTTCAAAATACATGAAATCAAATTATTCCAAAATAAATGACATAGTCTATACTTGTATGCTTCACATAGTAATTTTTAGGATTTGTTAAATAATCAAAATATGAACATGTAAAGTAAATAAAATTCATATCATGGTTTAGTAAAGACCGATCTTTTGATTGGGTGAGTGGGGATGCTCAATTAATGACCTTCCCCTCTCATACCTAAGGTTCCGAACCGAGACAACTTTGGTTATGATGAACAGTGGCCTTGGCACGAGTCATGAGTTTTTTAATTTCCCAAAACTATTAGGTGGCGACTCCGAACTGTGATGACCTAGTCCATTTCTGGCGAAAAGTTTTGCAATAAAATGAATTTTCTAAAAGTTGTCAAATCTGAACTCTTATCTATGTTTCACATTGCACTAGTGAGACTAGATCAAAGAGGTCGAGGGTCCGTACTATTTAACGTGCATGGGTATCCCCTAGGCATGTTACACCTCATCGAAGGTCAATTTTAGAAAACACTTGAGCTCCCTAAAGTTGGTTGAATAAATCATCTATCCGAGGTAATGGATACTTATTCTTGATGGTTACTCTATTCAGTTCTCGGTAATCTATACATAATCTCAAGGACCCATCCTTCTTCTTAACGAATAAAGCTGGAGCACCCCAGAGTGAAGTGCTCGGACGGATGAACTTCTTGTCTAACAGTTCTTGAAGTTGGGTTTTTAATTCTTTGACTACAACAAAATTGACTTTTTACGGTATCACATCAACAACATACAATGAATACAAGCCGTAATTTTCTCACTTTTACGACTTGCTTTTTTTACATGTCGTAAATAATATACTAACCACGGTACGTCTATTGCGCAGGTCGTTAATGGTAAAAATTATAATTTTTTACGACTTGTAATATTAGTTATAAATAATAAAATTTTCTATAACATATATGTAACATACCATTAATACATCAATTACATACAACATACGTATACCAGTCATTAAAAATAAGTCACCTCGTACGGCTTAGCATGTGTGTCCTGAATGGGATGCCCAAAAAATTTCAGGCGCCAAAACCCAATATTATGGCGCCACTTATCCAAAAATAAAAAAATAAATAAAAAAATAAACACCGTCGGATACAGTTGAAGGGGAAGGGTTCTTCAAACACTTGGGTTTCTTAAGGATAAAAAAACACGCAGTATCTAAGAAGAGAGGGAGAAGAAAGACGTATACAGGTGAAGGGGAAAGGGTTCTTCAAACACTGGTCTTCAATCAATTGAATCGGTGGAGATCGAGACGCATGACAGTCAATTGATGCAGTCCGTTTCCTTCCTCAACAAAGCAATCACGCTTTCCATTGAATCAATTTGTAATCTGCTTCGACTTGGACTTGGCTTCAATTTCTGATTCCATCCGCTCAATTGAATCAATTTGTAAGGCACTCTCTCTTCCTTCTTCCTAAAACCCTTGTTTCGTCTCTCTCTCTCTCTCTCGGTATATATATATATATATTTATATCCCCCTCCTCCCTTCTATTCTCTGTTTTTCTCTTCTATTCTCTCTATACATACATACATACACCTTCTATATCCATCTACATTTTTGGGGTTTTTGTTCTCTGCCTTTTTCACACTTTTATTTTTTTTATGTTTTGGTTTTGATTTTTTTGTGGATGGTTGTTTATTGAGTATGATGTGTATTTCGGTATCTATATTTTTGGGGCATTACAGTATGATTATTGGATATTCCATTGGCTTCCATGTTTATAAATTCATTCAAAATAAAGGATGAATGTGGATTTAAGATACTATTAACCAGATCCATAGAAATTGGGGCATTATAGTGGTACATAAAACAGAAATTGTTCACAGCACTTCGTTTCTTCCAAACGTTCTGTTTTTCTGCGTTTTGATTCCTTGCTTACTAATTTCTCACAAGCTGTCCCTCATTTTCATCAGCAGCCAATCTTTTCCTTTTTTTTGGAGCTCTTTTCTGGAAAAGTGGATGCTTTGATTACAGTTATCAATTGTCTCTTGTAATATCTGTGGAGTTGTTACTATAAGTTTCATAGTGGGACACAACATTATTAGCTTGTAACTGTTGCTGTGGATTCTCACAATTAAAGATTTGTTATCTAAAATTAACTAGAAAAACTATCTATCAGTTACTTGTTTTAGAATATGTGAGTGGCAAAGCCAGGGTTGTGTAGGCTTCTTTCCTGTACTTGACCGAAGGAGTTCTACTGCAGTCATGGGATTAGGTTTCCTTCTTGTACTTGACTGAAGTTGTTCTAATGCAGTTGTGGTCTTCTAGTAATCAAGGGACATGATAGTTTTTTTCGATTGCAATGGCAATAGGTTTCTGTGGTGTAAGTTTTTCATTCTATCACTCAAGTTCTTTGTTATGCATATTGTACTCGTACAATGCAACATTCATTTTTCTCCCGATATAGAATATGTTGAGTTTGAGAAGGTCCAATCTGATTGATCTATGTGGTGGATTGCTGCCAAGCTAGCAGATTTTCTGTTGATTTATTGTTTTAAGTCAAACTTCACAACTTGAGTTTTATCATAAGGTACAGCATTGTTAGCTTGCATGTTAAAGCGTGACTCTCTACATGTGTATAGACTCGTTTGCTTCTCTTGTCTCTCTCATCTATTATCTATAATTCATATTACAGCTTCCTTCTGTGTATTTGGTTTAGTGAGGTTGTCCAAGATTGGTGAATCTCCTGCTTATGCGTGTGAAGGCCTCTCTTTTTTTCTGCACAGAAGATGTAATGAGAAAGCAGAATTGGTTCAAAAAAGATAAAGTCAAAGCATTATAATAAGGTAGACACTATGTGATCCCTTTATACGACCTTATTAGCAGAGTTGAAATCATCTGGAATGCATATTGAGATATCTCTTTTTCTGAATGGAGTAAAAGACCCTTTTGGATGTTCGTTTCTTTTGGCTTAGGTGTTGAACAGATTTAGACTACTTTGTATACTTCTTCACTTATAATATTATTATTAATATGGAGCACACTGTTCTTTTTCTGCTTTAAATGCCATAAAATCTTTCAAATATTTTGTTTGAAATGCTTCTTTTATAAATTTCATCCTTTTGTTGCTTGTGTTTATTCAATTTATTCTAACTTGCCTGCATGCTGCGGGTGGCATTATGTTTAACCAAAATAAATAGGTTCATCTTTTTCAGACAATCTTTACCAGGGCAAGTATACAAACTACTTATAGTTAGTCGTAGTGAAGAGGCACTCAATTCATTTCTAGTGAGAAGATCTTGGTTTAGTGAAACCAGTTTTAGATTAATCTCGTTAGATAGTAAAAAGTCCCAATGTTGTTGATTTTCTGTAATGGTGACTGGATTAAGGGTCCTCTACTTAATCACAAGTAGTCATAGAAACTCCTTGCTTTATGCAAGCATAGAATGATAAATCAATTTAATGTTGCCAGAGATCCTTAGATATTTCTTGAACAAGGTCTGGATATATATATATATTGTGTGGTGGGAGTAGTTGGAATTATATGATCTAGATATAAAATGTTTGGTACTGTGTTAATATGTTGGATTTTGCCAAGAGAAACCAGTTGATAGTCTTTGCTAGTCAAATGTTGACATAAAAGAAGAGAACTTGGTGCCTTGGCCATTCTTTAAGATTGGTGCTTAGGCACCTAGTTACATTAGGTTGGACTCACCCCTGCTATGTTGAAAGTGCACAACTAAGAGTAGGATATGCTCATCTACCAAAAAATTTTAGGATTTGTTAAAATAGTTTAATTGACTAGTGTAAAAGCAAAATACACGTCTTTACCAAGCCCAAACTTGGATCTCTCTCTCTCTCTTTCTCTGTGTGTGTGTGTGTGTGATATCTGTATGGGTGTGTATTTTACTCATGGGCTATGACCCCCTCTCGCCCCTATCTACATGAGTTTTCCCTTGATTGACGATCAAACAAGGCACATTATCTGGTTTTTTTTGTGTGACAATGATCTATGATTGCACCAGTGAGAAGTATTTTCTTTAAGGTATTAGGGAGAAAAGGACGGTCCCAAAGGTTGTGGGTTTAGGCAGCGATACTTGATGGCCGTTAATTTACTTTAGATTTTGTGATAGCAAAATGCATTAAATTCCAGATACCCAGAATTTGCTGTTTTATTCAGCTTTATTGGATTAATTGAGTTGGAGGCATTTCATGCTTGCTTATTAAACTAAGCACACACAATAATGAGACTGTAAGTTTGGCCACTTGTTAGTTGAAACTCCTGTGGACTTGGTGGACTGTGTCTCTTTACAAGCACGTTAGTAATTTTCTTTATACACATATAGGCTGTTTGAAAATTTTCCATTGTTTAATATTTTTTTAGGGGCCTTAGGCTTATCTGGCTTTATCTTCGACTCTTTACTAAATCTTATCTTGCAAAGATATATATTTTTATAAGTTTGAATGTCTTCATTTTTTTTCTCTTAATTGCATGATATCATAATAATAGTGCTATGTAGTACTCTGGTAAGCAGTACCTTGATTTTATCACCCTTTGATATTAAATAATAGAATGAGATTGTTTTAGATTTGTGAACACTACAATAGTAAGAGAATTATTCTTGAAATGGTTAAAAAACAGAAAAATACACAACTATAAGGGGCATGCCCCAGGGCCTAACCACAACTATACAACCAAAACAGCCAGAATAAAAATGCCGACCAGCCGAAAGCAAATAGAGCTAAACCAAACAAAAACAAAAGGAAACCCTACTTAAGACAAGAGAAACCAGAGCTATTAATTGGATGGAGAATAAAAACCAAACAGTTTATAAACTAAGAAATCTCACAACTAAGCATCTTACAATAATAAACCAGAACAAAAACTGATTCTAAAGATATGTTCATGAACCCCATACCAACAATATGTGGGTCATGAACATATTCCATAAACTCAAGAATTGGATTAAAAATAAAGCAAAAGATGTCCCTTACGCAACCCGTAGGGGTAGGCCAAATGATGACACTGAACATAACCACTATTACAAAAATATAGGATGTCCATTAATAAATAAAACTTCCATCACACTTGAGGCGCTTAAAGCAGCCATCACCTTGTGCTGCCATGTTCCAGTCTTCAGTAGATCCTGTCGAAAGATTACAGGTACATGAGTCCCAGAAATTGCAGCAAATAATCAATAGATACTTCAAAACAGTTCGTGCACGCTTGCATAAACTCACAATATAAAAGCTAATTTCAGTTGGCCCTCTTATCAGATTCTCACACCACTCAAACATTCTCTCTTTCGAGTACCCTGCCAAGTGAGAAAATGGCAAAAGCACTTCGGAACACTCCATGTATTCAATATATGATCTCACTTCTCTCAACCCACAAGAAATACTCTCACAGCATGCATGTACTATCCTGTCCAGACAACCTGCATGTATAACAATAAGCAATAATAGAAAATTGTTAGCCACACACATTATGGTCATTGATTTGGGATGGGTAATTTATGCTCACAAGCTCTCAACACTCAAAAAGGCTAACACTCAGCTCACAATAGACCAGCATCCAGCTCATAAATTCTGCAAAATGAGCAAACAAATAAGATAAACCCTCAGTTTCTGCTCACTGCCACTCAACCCACTTGTACTGAACTCTGATCACTCAGCTGGTGCTGTGTTGTCTTCAGAATTGAGGATGGAATCCTCTAAGTTTGCAGGAACCGTCACTAGAGTGCCTAGCAATGTTAGTCATCGACATCACACGAAAATCTTATCATATCCACAATACATTTAAGAACAATCTCCTCAGCAACCATTTCTTTTCTAAAAACTCTATTATTTCTAGCAATCCATACTTGATATACAGTGCAAGTAAAAGCCAATTTAATAATAATGGCTTTAATTGATTTCCCTTTAGCAGATAAAGCCACATACTTAGTAGCGTCAGGCCACTATACAACAGGCCAAGAGACATTAAGCTTGGTTAGAATGCTGGACCAGATTCTAGGTGAGAAGGGACAATCAAAGAAGAGATTGTTATGGTTTTCACAAGGGTCCTTGCAAAACACACAATCAGCAGATTGAGAAATGCCAAACATCTTTAATCTGTCCCCAGAGTTCAACCTACCTAAGATATCCATCCAGGTCACAAAACTAGCTTTAGGAATGTTGAGACCTTTCAAAATAGGTTTCAACATTTTCAGTTTTTGACAGACTCTGAACATAGGAGAACCCTTAATGTATTGCCTCCAAACCTTCTTAACCTCAGGAAGAAACTCCTCATGATCAGCCCAAAAATAAAAAAATTTAAAGGGTTTTTTGGAGCTGGGCAGATTAGGATCCAGAGTGATGAGGGCAGGGGAATGATCAGACACTCCAGAAGGTAAAAAGTTAGCAAAAAAGTTGGGAAAGGACTCCAACCATTTCTCATTAACCAAAACTCTATCTAACTTGGAGGATATAAACTCGCCCTCACCTCTTTTGCTAGCCCAGGTAAATTGACAACCTTTGTAAGACAAATCATCCATTTAAGAATTCAGAATAGCAACATTAAAACATTCTTTTGAACTATCCCAAGAGAGTTACCCCCCAGTTTCTCATGCGAGAATCTAACAGCATTAAAATCACCCAAGCAGACCAAAGGGAAGCTAGAATGACTTTTGGCAATAGTACAAATATCAGTAAATAGAGGGACTCTCAAGACATGTTTATTTACAGCGTAAACAAAAATAGCAAAAAAACTAAAATCCCCTTCAAGCACAGTTACTTTGCAAAAAATGAACTGATTCGACATTTTAACACAGAGGATATCACAAAAATTAGGATCCCAGCAGATCCAAATTCTAGCACTCAGATCAGGTTGTGAGTTTGACAAGAGACTCCAATTTTAAAACACTTTCCAAAAATTCTGACTTCATTTTCAGATTTTATTTTTGTCTCCAAAATACTTATGATTTTAATGTCCTCTTTATGCAATCCAAGTAAGTTGCTAGACTTTGGAGCTTATGTAATGCACTACGGTCGAAGTATTTGAAATGTAGTAAAGTGTGGAAATAAATTGCAGAAATGTAGTAAGTGCTCTTCCAAACTGAACTGCTTTATGTCAAATTGTGAAGCTATTTGCTTCATTATTATATATTCTTACATGCGTTAATTATTAATTACTTTGAAGGTCTGAAACACTTAAGTGACATATGAGTAGTTCTTTTCAAACCTCAAGCACATGGGTGCTTTTGGCTTGACATGGGTGGGGTCTGCATTATTATCACTAGTTGAACTTATTTTTGTTTCCCTTATCTCTTTGATTATTTATCTATAGTTTGTTTAAGGAAAAAAAAAAAAAAGAAGGTTCATTTTACTGTTGAAGAGTCATTGGACCAGTGTGTTCATGATAGAGTAATGGGCCCATACCTGGCCCATGTTTTATTATATTTTGGCAGCTGGAGTAAATCATTTGTAATTTTGTAAGCCCTGAGCCTTTCTGAATGTTTGGGATGTTTATTTTTTGTTGTAGAATTGAGGGTGGGAAGTTTTTATCTCAATATTGAGGGTTAAGTATTTTCCTTCTAAAAATTTGGTTTCAATCTTATTTTTAATATAATACTATTGAAACAAATTTACTAGTCCCATGAACTTGTTGAATTTATTATTTTTGTTAAATTTAATTTTTACAATAGTGAATCTATCAGGATTTCAAGCCATTGGATGGTAATAAAAGTTACTATCCGATCACTTCTTTACAAAACTTTGTTGTTGGCCTAATTTGTGATTGTTTGATGTTGGAATATGAATAATATAACATCAAGGACTACAAAATATAGAGAAATACCTACATGTTACGAAGGATAAATCAAAATTATCAGCTTAAACTTATCCTAATACATTCTATGCAGATGTACACTGAACTTTTTAATATCATCTGAATTTTTCCTAGTCCCAGATGTTAAATTGAAAGTAAAAGAATTCACTCTATTATCTATGCTACTACATGCTCACTCTATTTTCTGTTTCCGTTAAATGTGCCTCCCAATTTAAAAGATTTTTTTACGAGCTTTAATATTAATCAATATCGAAAGCGACTCTCTCTCTCTCTCTCTCTCTCTCTCTCTCTCTCTCTCTCATATACTAATTAAGAAGCCTGCTTGTGCATTGTGTCTGCTATTGACCAAAGAGCTCTAAATTATTTCTTGCTTGCTTCAATAGTTTTGCTCTTGTATTCTTATTTCGAGGTTTGCATCCTAGGATCAAGTTGTACTCTGGTTTTCTAATTTCATTCTTAGTGTTGTTCTCTTGGACTTCCAAAAGTCAGTTTGAAGATTGAATTAGCTGCATTTACATGAGTTTGTAATTTCACTGTGACTTACTATCTAATTGAGGTTTCATTGCACTCCCAATTTGTTTCCATTGACTGCCTACCTCATTTTTCGGATGGTCTTAGTAGACAATCAAAGTGTTCTGAATCATATGTTGCGTCCGTATATATTAAAATGGCCTGAAAACAAAGCAATGTGATTAATGTCTTAATTCTTGCCATTCATGATATCGTTTTTCATTATATTTTTTAGGGACTTTGGTATTGATTCACGATGAGCTCGGGCATGCAAGAACCCACCCACTGGGCTAGCCATCAGCTCAGAGTAAGGATGAATTTGATACATTAAATTCTTCATTCCTTTCTCTCTCCCTCCTTGCTATGATTTGTGGAACCATTTGTACAGTCAATCATATGAAGGTTGATGTTGAACTATCGAGTTATATCCTATACCAGTGCTGACAGTTAGATATGGTGGCTGATAAATTTTCTTTTTTACCTGGCCATTGTTTTACTTTTCATTTATGGTAGGAATTTTTTACCTACTCATCACCTCATGGTTTTTAAGCAAACACGAGTTGATTCTCTGCGCCCACCATTCTACATAAAAAAATTCTCTGTATGATTGGTTAGTGAGTTTGGCACTTTTCGCACTAAATGACTGTTTTCAGGTTGCACTTTTATTCAGGTCTCTCTCTTTCTCGTGCACACACGCGCGGGCACTTTTTAACACAGGCTATATTATAATTAGTATTAGGGTAATGGAGGAAATCCAGCTTTGGTGTTATTTTTTTCAACATATTTTTTGTGTTGTCTCACTTGAAACTACAATGGCCACTAAAGCTCACAAAGTACATGTTTGTTGTTGGTTGCAGTTGGAGCTAGCACCCAGGAGGAGAGAGTTGGATGTAACATGGAGAACACTAGATTATTTCCTATAAATGCAACACTTGAATTATTGCTAAATCTCAAGCAGCAAGGTGTGTCTACTAGCTATTTTTTTCCAAATTAAAGAGCCTATAATTTTGGGATGATAATGAAAGGGTGTCGGAAAGAATGTAAAATCAGCATATAAAGGTTTTCTTTGACTCTCAGTTATTTGCTAAAATTGTACCGGTAAAAACGGCTGAAGATCTTTAAAACTTTTAGAATTAACTTTAAAACTATTGATTTTGATGCAGGGTTGAAATTCTTTACACTCAATGAATACAGCATCCAATTTGTGTTTTATTTCATCTATATGAACTTGCAAATTTCATTGGCTTTTCTAGTAAGCTTCAATTTTCGCAAATGTGAAGACTGCTACTTGGTTTGTTTAGTTATGAAATTAACAAAAACGTTTAATTTTCGATTCTTTTTTGAGATTTTACCTAGGGATGTGAGAATTTAACAATAACAATGACACTGACACTGACACTGACACAAGGTTTGGATTGCCATCTTTCCCTTAAAATGCTGTAGTTTTTGTTATTGTTCATAGCATGCTTTTCAAGGATTTATTAATGAGATTTAGCAGTTGTGCACATGGTATCCTCTCTTTATGTTTCACGTTCATCTATTACCTTTCTTTATAAAGGTGTGTGGTATAACTCTTTCTCTATTTGCCAGATTTTTTTTTATTATAATTTCTTACCTGTCTAGCCTATTCCATGCTGGTTCATAATTTCTTATCTTTCTAGCTTTTATGGGGCCGTTGAATTGTCTTTTTAATTTTGAAAATGTTTTGTTGATGTTTTAAAATTTCTTGATCATTTCTTAATACCTTAAGAAATATTTTTCTCCATGAGTCATCGGTTCTTATACTTATGTGAAGTTTCCTTTGGCATGCAGACAAGAAATGCAACGCGGTTAGTTGCTTCAGCTATTGTCGCGAGTTTAGGTGCCTTAACACATACATTGGGTACCTTCGTCCCTATGATAGGAGCAAGTGGATTTGCTAAAGTTGCAGCTGCAACTGCTATAGGAACTGTTGTCGGTAGTTTTAGATAATCTCTTAATAGTTGTTGATATGTTTAGAAAATTAGATATGCATAGTTTTAGATGGTTTAAACTTTTTGTACAGTTTAGAACTTAAGGATATAGTTTTCGAATGTTTGGAATGTAAAGACAATTGTTGAATACTTATAATTTATTGATATAGTTTCTTTGTGATGTTTCAAACAATAATTTGGTGGTTGATTGATGTTTTGTGATGCTTGTTTGTAATATTTGTTAGATTGTATAAAATTGGTCAAATAGAACCTGCTGAATTTAAAAAAAATAATAATAAAAAAAATACATATTCTACGGTAGGTATAATAAGTCGTTATATTACATATTTTACGGCGCGCAATCAGCGTCATTATTTGTCTCACTAATTAACGGCGTGCAAAAGTAGTCGTAGAAAAGTAATAACGATGCACAAAATCTACTGTTAAATAGTTTTTAACGACGTACTATAGCATGTCGTAGAAAAAGTAATGACGTACAAAATCTGTCTTTAAATAGTTTTTAACGGTATACAAAGTATGTTGTTAAAAGTGAATGACTTTCCATGACTGGTCATAATATGACACGCGTTTGCACGTCGTAAAAGGGTTTTTACGGCGTGCATTGCGCGTCGTAAAAACCATTTTTTGTTATAGCGTTTAAGTTCTGAGGTTGACATTCTGTAAGTGGTCTTGGAAATAGGTTGTGTTCCCGGTGCTACTTCACTAGTGAACTCAATTTCCCTATCAACTAAGTCTCTAGGCAAGTCATTTGGAAATACATCGGAAACTTCACAAGCAAAAGAAATGGTTTCTACATTTGAAATATTAGAAACTTCAGTCAAAACACAACATATGTAACCCTACATCCTTTCTTAAGCAGTTTAACAGCTTTCATGGCAGAAATCAAGTATGGGGAAGGAATTACCCTATTCCCGATGAACACAAACTCAGGCAAGCCAGGTGGACGAAATACAACAAATTTATTTACACGGTCAATAGTCGCACAGTACTTTGTCAACCAATCCATGCCCAATATACAATCAAAATGGTCTAAGCTCAAAGGTAACAAGTCAACATATAATGTCATATCACCAATTGTAATATCACATGTCGGAAACGTATATGCATATACCATAGAATCTCCGGATGGCATAGTTACAGATAATAAATAATTCATGGATTCTAAGGGTCTAGTTAACTTCCGATAAAAGGCATGCGACACGAATGCATATGTAGAACTGGAATCTATCAACACATATGCATTTTGGGCACAAATGGAAATTATACCTGACACCACAAACTCAGTGTTCTGCACATCTCCGGGCACTAATGCGAACATCCTCCCTTGTCTCAACATTTCATTCCCAGAGTTATTCCTGACATTGGTTCTGGTATTCGACTTGGCCACCGAAGCAGACCCAGCTGAACTTGTTGCGGGGCAATTGGCGTTGTCGAGCCCAAGTGGACAATCTTTTATCATATGGCCAACTTTGCCACATCGGTAACAGGCACCAGACGCGTGGTGACACATTCCTCTATGCTTTCTTCCACACTCAGGACAGTTTGGAATAGAGCCACTACTCTGACTAGAGATGCTGGAAGATCTCGTATTTTGTTTCTTATTCATGGCAAATGAACAACTCTTTTTGAAATTGAATCTAGATCTTTACTTTTCCATTATGTGGTTGGTGCCTTGGCTTGTTTTATTGCTGCCAAGGTAGCTTCCGCCATTATTGCTCTATCCAGAACTTTCACATAGGTAGACAGCTTTAAGATGCCTACTCGGTCAAACACTTCCAAATCCAGGCCGCTTTCAAATTTTTGTGCCTTTTTATAGTTAATATCTACCATGTATGGGGCAAACCGAGCCAACTCCGTGAATTTGGCTTCATACTCGACCACGGACATCCTACCCTACTTAAGTTCTTGAAATTCTGACACTTTTCGATCCCTGAAGCATTGAGGAAAGTATTTGTTATAGAATATCTCATTGAATTGAGCCCATGTCATATCCCCGTTGTTGTTTCGGACCAACAGCCACCATCTTCGGGCTTCGTCCTTTAGGGTGTAAGTGGCCAAGAGTACTTTCTGAGTTGTGGAGCACGGAAACACTTCAAATAATTTCTCCATCTCTAGCAACCAAGTTTCTACCTTTAATGGTTCAATGCCCCCCAAGAAGGTCGGCAGTTTCATTTTCATAAATTTCTGAGTCAGATTGATAATGTCATTGTTATTCGGTTCAACTTGTACCGGCAGAGACGGATGAAGCAAAGGTTGTTGTCTTTGTTGTTGCGTTATTACTTCAGTCAAAACTGTAAGCATCTGTTCCATTCTATTCATTCAGGCCTTAGAAGATTCACTTGTATCATTTTCCCTTGCATTCTCCATGTTGCTATAAAGACACCAAGTAATAGTAAACATAGGAATACCCTTGTTCATTTCTTTCAATTTCATTTGTCTAGAGTCAAAGTCAGTTTTCACATGTATAAAGATTACCACACGTTCACATATGCTGGTGACATGTCTCTAATTCTTTCTAGGACATCCTAAGCTCATATGGACTCTTGTGTGCGGTATAACACGTGATTTGATACCACTCTGTCACGACCCAAGCCCGCCTCTATAGGTTTAGCGTCGTATCCAGCCAGTAGTCCTTGGATTACCAAAGGCCTCTGAACAAAAAGACATATAATCAAAGGGGCTGCAGAAGAAAATATACAAAATACAACGCCCATTAAGTTATGCAGACATACATGGGACAAAATAATTTTAAACTTTATAAGCATGCACATGACGTCACATAGATACAGCAATCATACATCACCCCACATACAGATAATTAAAAACAAACTGTTCACAAAATAAGAGAGATCAAAGTTTTGAACTTTCAAAAAGACATGGCCACATGGCTTAACTCGATCCGGAACCTCCTCGGGAGACGCAAAGGGTGGCAGTCAAAATGGAATTTTAGGCTATCAACTCTGGCTCTGATCACGTGCCTAGTCACTTACATACATAGTATAAATAGTGAGCGGGAGCCAAGTGAATAATAACAGAGTAAAGGGTTTAGATGAATGATGCCCATCACAATTTAATTTCAAGTCTCTTACTGAATAGAAACATAATCATGCTTATATACAGAAACAGAATCATAGTCACATTCTTATCTTGAGTGGTGTATCCATTAGCATTAAACATATCTCTTTTGTCAAACTTATTAAGATCCACATTGGAACCTCCGGTACCGGTAACATATCTCATACATAAGCCACGATATTGTTTTCCCCGGGCGAGGGCCGGGGCCACGATATTGTTCCCCCGAGTGAGGGCCTCATGACCATAAGCCACAGTATTATGTCCCTTGGGCAAGGGCCTCTGCTAAGGATACCACATAAGCATTTCAAAGAAGTGGATCATCATTCATGTAATCTCATAATAGCCTTTTGTATCATTCGAACACGGTTCATATCATATCATATCATAAAGTTCAGAAAATATTTCATATCGAACATAGTTTTACTGAGTTATTACTCACAGATAGTTATACAGATAGCTTGGCAGCAAACCAATGGATCATCCGCTCATGGCGCATGACCTACATCAATCGTAGCAGATACATACACTGTAACGCATACTTGATTTGTACATAACTCATTTCACTTGCCCTTTGTGTTTCTTCTCCTTATCCTCATTAGGGTGTCCTAATCTTGGCCTAGGAACGCCTAGGATGTAATAAGGATGCCAAAATGTTTTGGAAAACAATTGGTTAAATTTCGAAAGACAGGGTCCCTGCTCGAGCGGACACGAAAAATGTGAGTGGTCTTTCAAGCATAAATTTCTTCGTTCGAGCGGTCGATAAACTTGGCAAAAGTACTGGTTACATGAAATTCCTGCTCGACTATCACTCGAGCGGAAGACTGAGTAAAAAGGGACCTCGCTCAAGCGTCACTTTGATCGATCGAGCAACCTGTAAAATTTTGAAAGACTTCTGGGAGCTCGATTTTCACGCTCGAGCGACACTTTGCTCGCTCGAGTAGACAATGTGAATTCTGGAATTTCTAGAACTGCCTTTATACTTCAAAACCCAAATTCAAAACCACAAATCATATTCTTTTGGGCCAAAACTCAAGAAACCTTGTCTAAACTTGAAAAATATTGAGAATCAAAGATCATTTCATGAAATCAAATCCCAAAAGTATGTCAATTGTGCAAAACTCAACTTGAAATGTGAGAACATGAGGTGAACATAACATGCATGCATTCACTTGAGTTCATAGCTCCTAAAACATGATCAAATGAAACACTTAAGTCATAAACATGATGAAGTCCTTGACCAATACCAAAATATGGACATGCATGTGGAAAATCTTGAGGAACAACTTACAAATTTTAGTGAATTATGCATGCCTGGTTGAATTCTTTGTATATTCATCTTCCTTAGCTTAAATCATGACTTGAATCTTTATATGCTTTTGAATTCTTACATTAGCCATCTTAAATACACAACCAAAGGGTTGAATTCTTACCTTAGTTCTCCAATCTAGCTCCAAATGGTGAATTCACTGAAATCCCATACCAAACCTTTAAATCCAAAGCTAATTCCTTTCACTCTCTAGTGTTTCCTTTGTTTGACCACAACCCTTACTTACTCTCTCTCTCTCTCTCTCTCTCTCTCTCTCTCTCTCTACGTTTTTGAGCTCAAAGGATGAGGAAAGGAAGTGTAAAATGTATATAAAATGGTGGTAGTAGCTTTAAGTGGGCTTACTTACGAAAATTAATTAAGTTAAGTTAAGTTAAGAACAACTAAGTGCAATCATTTATTCTAATTATTT